CCTTTGCACTCCTTATAGCACTCAACTTACGTATTTATTATTGCATTTGTGATAATTCATGTACTTGAAAGTCTGCCTCCCTCACAAGACGATAAGTAGGTGCTCAATAATTGTTGAGTGAGTCACTGAGAGTTGCGGAAATCAGGGTGGAAAGGCCTGGAAACAGGAAATAGTCCCTTTATTAAACTTTCATCAACTATCCCATCTCAGCGTGCTGCTCCTGCCAGGTTCCTGACTCGATTAACCATGACTGCAGAGGAGGGTAAAATCAATATTCTAAAGTTTGGGAAAAAGAATCTCCAATAAATTCATTACTCAAACACAATTACTACTATCTCCGGCCAATTTCTTGGTCGGTTCTTCTAGACTTGTTTATCATTACATCATAAATATATTTGGTGTTACTACACAGTCTTTGTATCAACCATTTGGAGACGGTCCTTAGGACAGATTCCCAGAAGTGGGGGTGTTGGGGTTGGGTCTTGTTACAGATTGCCAAACTGCTTTCTGAAAACTTGTGTCAATTACCATCAGCTCCAGAGCCTGGGGAAGGGAATCTTTAGGCTGAGGGGGTGAACAGCTAACAGGTTTGCGGCTTCCACTGGTCCATTCATGTAGCAAAATGCCTATGGCACATTTTGATGCTATTGGCACTTTCATAGCACTTTCTTCCTCCCTGTCATGGAGCAGTGAGTGGGTCCTGTTCTGGATAAAAATAGTATACCCTGAGCCATTCTCTGGAAATGGAAACAGCCCCTGAAGGAGGCTGAATGGGCCTCTACATTGTTCATGGGCTACAGCCAAAGATGGGTAGGGCTGGGTGTCACCAGGACTGCAAGTGGAGAAAATTTGCTGTAAGTAGCTCTTGAGACCTCCTTCCTTCTAATCAGCCTCTGCAAGACATAAGGTCCATGGAGAAATAGATTTGTAATTGCCTGGGCCTTGGGACTCTGCTGCCACAGCAGGCCCACCATTGCTAACAACTGTGGCGAAGTCCAGCATGTTTATGGGTGCTCCCAGGGTAGGGCCTACCTGGTGAGGAAACGTTTTGCCTTGGAGTTCAAAGACCAGAGTGGGAGAAATCAGTTTGGAGTTCCAACCATTCCCACCCAGAGCCTAGAGCTCTCTGGCTACCGAAATGACTTTCTTCTCCCCAACCAAGTGATTTCCTGAGTGCAGCAGAGCTCAGCCAGGGCGAGCTAAAGCACAGACCCCAGGGAGCAGGAAGGGAAGTAGAAGCGCACCTCTTCTCTCTAAAAGCAGCCCGCTTCCCAGTAGAACAGCCTGGGTCACTGTCACTTCTATTGGACCTAGACATGGGTTCTGGGCTCAAACTAAAGAAGTTGTGCCAAGAATAACAAGAGAAAAGCAATCTAATTAAATTCATTATTACCAAGGAATGAATCTAATTACTGATTAATGAGACCAACATCCCTCAGGGTTTCTTATGTGTCCTTTGCTAAACTCGGGGGTGGCAGAGTACCTGCTTTTTGGATGTTCATAGCGTAAGGGGGAGCTGGAATCCTCAGGGAGGTTTCCAGGAGTGAGGAACTGGATCAGAAGTGGGAGGATGACTGGATCTAAAGGAAGGGGTGATTCAAGGTCTGAATCTTCAATTTACTGGCTGTGAGATACTGGGTAAGTCACATAATCTTTGACATTGACATAAGGATTAAATGAGGTAATATATATGGCCAGGAAATGGGAGCGCTCTCTCTCTCTTTATATCTCTCTCTCTCTCTCTCTCTCACACACACACACACACACACACACACACACACACACAATCCCTGGCAATCCCTACTGACACCCATTACGTTTAGAGGTCAAGCCTGGGAATGTATGCCCCTTCCCAGTTGGTAGCTTTTGGTCAATTGTACCTGTCAAGTCTCTAGTGCCAGAGGCTGCAACCAGAGATCAGAGAATGCCTTTCACCTTGAGGGTGGGGGAAGGAGAGAGGCGAAGAATCCAAGGAGAATCTGCCCATTTATACATGGCAGAAAAGCCATGATGCAATCCTTCTGGGTGGTGGCAGACGGCTCAGGTCAAGGACAGGTCATCCTGGCCTCCAGGAGAATGTGTTCTCCTGCCCAGCCTTTCCCTGTCAGCTCCCTCATAGCTGAGCTTTCTAGACCTTCTATCTGGGTGGCCCTTCCCACACTCCTCTCCCCCTTCCTCAAACACATTTAACTATTTAGAATGCAGCATACAAAGGCCTGGCTTATGTACCTCCTTAGGGGTAGGGATGGCTATGAATAAAAAATATATGCTCTCTGCAAATAGAAACAGCTTATAAACTAGGCTGTGCAGGCCGCTGGATCGCTCTTGGGGCTCCAGGTAGAGACAACCCCTGCCCCCCCCCCCCCATGGATGGGATTGCAAAAGGAAGAATAATGTGGGGAAGGACTGGGAAGTGTAGCCTTGGTCTTGGAGGGTAACCTTGGCAGTCAGTTCCCTTACAGGCTCAGGGAGCTCTTGCCAGCAGGTGAGGGGACAGTGGAGGAGAAATTCCTAGAGTGGTAGTCATCCATCAAATTTTGTCTGACCTGGCAGGGTCCCAGAGCCCTGTTCCTCCACACCTCCCCAGTCCTCCCTGATTTGGCACAGAAGGCCCCTTTCTTCCAGTTCCCGCATGGAGCATCGCTGGGAGAGGCAGGGCAGATCCTATCAACGCTTCCTGCCTGGCTCCTCTGGCTTCTGTCCCACGGAGAGGTGGCTGGCCCGTGGACATTCAATTGTGCACTATATCTCAGACACACTCAAACCCTCTGTAGCTGCTGCCAAAAAGAAACAAAAACTGTCCCTGCCTTCCGGCAGACAAATAGAGCAAAGAGAAGAGAAATCAAAGCATCTTGGGCACCCGGCCAGTCCTGGAGTTACAGAGACAATAGCAGCAGTGTCCTGAGCTGGGGGCTGCTCCCACCTGGGACTCAAACTCAGCAAGGCCTTCCCCTGGGGAGTCCTTGCCTAGTCTGTTTCCTGGAGTGGGGGCTGCTCATGTGCTCAAGGGAAGGCAGAGGAGGGGTTTTTCCTCTGACTGTCAGGGCTTCCAAGGGCTCAGTGGGGAAGATTGGGAAGAGATATGGGAAGGCTCTGGGACAGTTCAATCAATCCCTTCTCCTTCCCCATCCAACCCTCCCTCCAAACCGACCCAGCTCCATCCGTTTTTGTGGTCAAGGAGCAGTCTTCTGGCCTCTTGGACCACCCAGACCTCAAGGGTCAGAAAGCTCTGAGAGAGGTGACAAAACCTGAGAAAGGGCCCTAAAAAGTTACCTAGCCCAGCCCTGGACAGTGTTACTCAGTGGTCAGAGCACGGGCCCGTGCACCAAAGGATCGCGGGTTTGCTTCCTGGCCAAGGGTGTTCAAGAGTCAGGGCATGTAAGGGAGGCAACCAATTGATGTGTCTCTCTCACACTGATGTGTTTCTCTCTCTCTCTCTCTCTCTCTCTCTCTCTCTCTCTCTCTCTCTCTCTCCTCCCTTCTACTCTATATGAAAATCAATGGGAAAAATATCCTCAGGTGAGGATTAACAACAACAAAATATTACCCAGTCCAACCTTCCCAGTTTGCAGATGGGGAAACTCAGGGGCAGAAGAGAGGCAGTGATTTGGCCAAAGCCAAACAGCATTACAGAGGGGGGAGGTCTTCCTCCATCCAGGCCAGGACTGTCTCCAGCATCACCTGGGCCCCACAAATTTAATTTCAGTGCCAAAGGGGACCATTCTGGGCGCTACCACAGCTCTTTATTCCCACTTCTGCTGCAGTTAATCCAACCACTTCTGCTGGGCCATTTCTGCACACTTTCAGGAACCTTGTCCGACCTGAAAGTGGGAAGAATGTGAAGCTCTAGAGCTCCCAAGAAGGCTGGTGGAGGTGGAGCTCCCCCAGGGAAGGAATGCTCTTTTACTCAGCCTCTCACAAGTTCAAGGAGAACAACACTAAGATTCAGGCACGATTACTCAAATTAACTTGAGAGACTTCAGATTTTTGAAGCAATGTAGAAACCAGTCTGTTTATAATTACTGCCACCCACAGTGAGCACATCAAGAGAAACCTTTACTTTGTTAATTCCAGGAGGTGAAATCTCACCCCAGGAACCACTTTTATCTTCCACCAAACTCCTGCAGGTTGTAAAAGCAGTACAGGGAGTTTGGGAGTGGGGTGGTGAAGGGAAGGTGGCTAGGACTCCAGAAGAGCTGTGAGTATGGAAATCTCATCTCTCAATTATCCGAAGCAGGAGTGTCTGTATAATTAGGGAGTAGGGAGTGCACCTGGAGAAGAGTCAGAAGGTTTTCAAACCATGATATAGTTTCCTGGCTCTTCCTCACCAGGCTGAACAGACCTCATTAAGGGGAGGTGGAAAGGGGTCTGGCTCTCAGACCATGGCTTTCTTTTATTGCTCTTGTTGCCACTAAAACCGGTGAGGATATTGATGGCCAGGCAGGGGCTGCCTTCTGCTTGCTTTAAGGGTCTCTAAGGGACAATAGTTGAGCTGGAGAAACTGGCTATAGGCTGTGAGGGTAGGGAGGGAATGACAGGGGTTAGAGGCTGAGGCTGGGGGTGGGGTCATGGCAGGGGCTGGGAATCTGTGTGGCAGGTAGTATGGGGGCAGAGTGGTAAGTCCTGGGCTGAGGGTCAGGGGCCAGGCTGCCCAAATCAGCAGCTGTAGAGGGAGCACGACATGCAGAGATGGCACTGCCAGCAGCTAGGCCTATGGGCCAGGGACTGAAGTACTTCCAGATTCTTTCAGGAGGGATATGCTTTTATGGATGAGACTAGATCAGCCAGTGAGAAAGCAGTCCTCTTGGGAGCTTCCCATTGGAGAGCTGCTGCCCCTGCCTGTAGCTTCTGTACACGGGTACATGGGAGCTAGGCCATAGTGTCCTACTTCGTTCTACACACTGGTTCTGGACGGTCTTTACCACATGACGCATGAGCACACACTGGAGGACCCCCTCCCCCGCAATGTGAGCGTGGCACTACTCTATAAGACTCCAGCATGCCTGTGGGAGCCCTTCTTTATTGGGAAATAAATACAGTCAAACAGGTGGGCCAGCCAACATCTGTAGTTCTGGGGGCCAAGAGGAAGGCGTCGGACTTGCTCAGAACTCAGATCTCCATGAGCTGGTCATTCCCCACGATCACCTCATTTACTCGTTTGGCTACAAAAGAAAAGAAAAAGGTTGTTTGAGAACTGTCAGCAAAAGATGTCATCTTAAACCCAATTACTTTTAATTCTGTGTTCATAAACATTTATTCCTCTCCCAAGTGGCTCTGCTCTTGAGAAGCTCTTGGGAATACAACTTGCCAAAGGAGGACAGCATCTTCCCACACAGCAGGAGGGTCTGCTCTATGCACCTGGCTTTCAGGGAGACTGCACAGGAGGGGAAGGAGCAGGGTCTTAAAGGATGGATAGAGTTTTCTCAGGCAGTGTATCAAAGGGAAGGCACTCCAGGCCACTAGAACGACATGAGTGAAAACATAAACATGTAGGAAAGGAAAACATGAAATACTGTGGCGTGGCCTGGGGATAGGGAATAGGGGAAAAGAGTGAGGAGAAATGAGACTAAATGGTTAGATGGAGATATCCAAAGGAAAAAGGGAGTTGCCTCATCTGTAATATGGAAATAATAGCATCAACTGTATAGGGTTGTTGCGAGGACTCAATGAGTTAAAGAATCATTGAGTGCTCCATAAATAGTGGCCATTGTTATTTTCATAGAGTCCAAGCCCATAAGCCCCTCCATGACCTGACTCTTGCTACCTCTTTAGCCCCATCTTCCACCGTTCTCCATTTGTACCTAAAGCCATACTATTTTATAGCTCTAGACCTCAGCACATGTTGTTCCAACATGCCTTTCTTCCCCATCACACTCTTATCCCAAATGCCCTAATCCCGTGGTCGGCAAACTGCAGCTCGCGAGCCACATGCGGCTCTTTGGCCCCTTCAGTGTGGCTCTTCCACAAAATACCATGTGTGGGCATGCATGCACAGTGCAATTGAAACTTCGTGGCCTATGCGCAGAAGTAGGTATTTTGTGGAAGAGCCGGTATTTTATGGTTTGCCAAGCTGCAGTTTGCCAACCACTGGAATCACCTTCACTATGTGATTAATGCCTTCCCGTCTGAGCTGTCCATTTTCTGCTTCCCGTCTGAGAACATCCTATCTAATACCTGTCTCTATCTCTATATCATTATTTAATTCTCTTCTACCTCTATCTCTATATCATTATTTCATTCTCCTCTACCTCACTGTAAGGCTCTTGAGGGCTGGGGCAGTGTATTTATGCTCATACCCCAGTGTTTAACACAGCTACTGGCACATGAAGGATTTCAGAGATTTGGGATAATGACAAGGATAGGATATGGTTATGTAAATGGAGAGCTAAAGTTGAAAGGAAGTGAAGGGTGGTGGAAAAGTTAAGGAAATTATGAAGCTAAATATGAAGTTGGATGGTTCACTGATGAATATGTTTAAGTCGTCCAAGATGTTTGGGAAAAAAGAGGGAGGGAAGAGGAATACTGTGAATCCTCAATATATTTATAGAAGTGCCCTGAAGCTGATCAGTGGTGTGATGAAAGGTAAGATGAGGGTTAGCTTTAAAAACAATTTAAAAAAAAATTGATTTCAGAGGGGAAAGGAGAGGGAGAGATAGAAACATCAATGATGAGAGAGAATCACTGATCGGCTGCCTCCCACATGCCCCCACTGGGGATGGAGCATGCAACCTGGGCATGTGCCCTGACTGGGAATTGAACCGTGACCTCCTGGTTCATAGGTCAACACTCAACCACTGAGCCATGCTGGTCAGGCTGTATTTATTTCTTTACTCATCTGTCTCCCTATAATAGACTGTGAGCATCTAGACAGCAAGAGGCAAGTCTTATTCATCTTTATAGATACCCTCCTAGAGCCTAGAATACAGTAGGCAGTAACTCTTTGTTGAATGTGTGGGTTTTTGGGGGGTTAAGTGAGAGTATAGATGTAGGGGGAAAAACCCTGCATGTATAGAAGAGAAGGCCTCCAATCTCCTTCTCAAAGAGAATTTAATTGACACGTCTGGTGCAGTAGAGGAACGGTGCTTGGGGATCCTGAGTCCTCAGGCCTATTTCTTTAACTTACTCCAGTGGGAAGAGAATCCTAGGTCTACGTCTTTCACAAAGTTTGCTGTTACGGCACCGCATTGGACAGGGCAATCTCATGTGAGAAGAAAAGGACAGGAAAGAGAGGAAGAAAAGGTAACAGTGCAGGAAAGGAAAGAGCTTGAGTCATACAGACTTGAATTCTAATTTGACTTTGAGCAAACTGTTCCAGTCTTTGGGCTTTAGTTTCCTCACAAAGTTGTGGAGATTCAGTAGGATAATTGATGTAAAGAGCCCAGCATAGTGCTTTGATAAGTATTAAACAGACATTACAGAATGGGGCTGGGTCTGGTCTGTGTACTTGTGCCCTGGGAGGTGCTCCTTTTTGGACTTCAGTGAGAGGAATGGGGAGGAGACCCAGACAGTGCTCAGGCTGCTAGATTCCTTAGGGTTGGTCTGGTCTTGGAGTGTGATTGTCGATCAGGCTCCACAGTTGAGATAAGACTGACCAGAAAAGAACAAAGGAAATGCTGCTCTAGTTAGCTTCCTAGGGCACCTCCAAAAGCTCTACTTTACCCTTTATCCCTCTATAGCCACGAGTCAGCCTCATCTGCTCATATCCAGACTCTGACATTTGCTCTTCCTTCATCCAGTCTCTTCTTCGTCTCCAGGGACACTGGGCTGTTCTGAAGACAGTCCCAGTTCCAACTAACATTCTTCTTGGCCCTCAGTGCTCCAGACCAGAGGGGCTAATTATCTGCTTGGCTGGGGCAGACAAAGCTTTTTGTGCTCTGTCAGGCTCTAAACACCTGAGCCTTCACAGGTTCGCCCTCCCTACTCTCCACTCTGCCCTCTGGTCTGCTCTTAGCCTGGGGGTAGGAGAAGAGAGAGACTAGATCTGGTATTTTTGGGGTTGATGTATTTTCATGGAGATTCAGTAAAGGTGGGGGGAACCTGTAGGGGAGCAACGAGCAGTTCTAGTTCTGCTTGGCCAGGGTCGGAAGCAGGCTCAGTACACACAATAGAAAAGTTCTGGGCTAGAATCAGGTTGGGAAGATCTCAAAGGTAAGAGTACAAGGGAAGATGGTAAGCTGGGAAAAAATCAATGGGATAGAAGGGAATGACAAGTCACCTATGAAGAGCTGCACTTCTGGGAAGCTAGGAAGGATTCCTATTAGCCAGGACCTGATCTATGCACCCATGAGGTCTACTTTCATGGCCAAAAGACTGATCACTGTGGTCACAGGGAAGAGACCCAAGTTCTCTCACTGACAGTGATAAGAGACTCAGAGTCTCATCAGTCTCCCAGGTTTTGACTTTGTTGGCTATGGCTTTCTACTGGCTTAAGCAGAAAGAAGGTCAAACTTGGTTACCAGGATTTTTGTCAGAAATAATCTCATTAACTGAGCATGATGGAGTTGGGTGAGAAAAGCCGGAATTGTTAGAGAATAGTTTGTTCTGGTAGTGTTAGAATAGGGTAGAGCCTGCCAGTGTGGCTCAGTGGTTGAATATCAACCAAGGAACCAAGAGGTCTCCGCTCGATTCCTAGTTGGGGTACAGGCCTGGGTTGCGGGCTTGATCCCCAGTGGGGGGCATGCAGAAGCACAGGCAATCGATGAATTTTCTCTCTCTTCAATGTTTCTATCTCTCTCTTCCTTCCTCTCTCTCTAAAAATCAATAAAAAAGCATATGAAAAATTAGAATAAGGTAGAGAGGCTTACACTGGGTTATGAGAGTCACATTTTTGGTAAAAGACTGTTATAGATGTAGTGACTCTGATATACAAGTGATTGGAATTTGGAGAGGGGGCATTACTTATGAGGATGAATGTTTTTTCCTGAAATTCCTCCATGTGAGGAAGACCAACTGGGGATTTTGCCATCTACTAAGCTCTTTGCTGGTGAAGACCTGAGTTATTGATGTTTGTCTGGGTCATCCATATTAACAGGTCTTGAGTGCGGCACTGATGGCTAGGAATTTGCTTTATCTATACAGTTCAGCCTCAAAGAAAAGTGATAGTGGGAACAGGTGATTGGCCAGAAGTCCTTGTAGCAGGATGGCACTGTTAGATGCACAGGTCCCCCAGCATTGAGGACGGAGCAGAAAGTGTTGGGGTTCTCTACTTTAGAGTCTAGATAACTTCCCTGGTCACCTCTCCTTCAGGAGGACCAGTAAGGAGTCTCCTTGCTAAAAAATGGGCACAGAGTGTTAGTTAGTGTCAGAAAGCCCCCAAGACAATGAAGCAGCCCTGTGCTCCCTGATAGGAGATGCCCTGCCTCAGGCCCTCAGTACCTGGCATTCATGCATTCTGCACATGGAATAAAAAGGGTCCCTAGCTGGTTTGGCTCAATGGATAGAGCGTCGGTCTGCGGACTGAAGGGTCCCGGGTTCGATTCCAGCCAAGGGCACATGCCTGGGTTGCGGGCTTGATCCCCAGTAGGGGACATGCAAGCGGCAGCCAATCAATGATTCTCTCTTATCATTGATGTTTCTCTCTCTCTCCCTCTCTCCTTTCCTCTCTAAAATCAATAAAATATATTTTTAAAAAAAGGGTCCTTGAAACGTAAAAGGAAGGAGTACCATCACTTTGTTGGAAATGGGGAGGAGAAGCAGCAGAAACTGCTGGTTCCAGGTTCCAGCACACAAGAAAGGAGGGACCTCTAGGGTGCTGGCAAATGGAGTTCACTCATTCAAATAAGCCTATAGAGTAAACTCTTTTTAAAAACAACAAAAGGAAGCAGCTCCTGGCTCCAGGAGGGACTGAAAGAAGAAAGCACTGGGGGATGTTTCTACTTTTTATTGAGCAGGAGATAGTTTACAAAGACAAAGAGGCAGGAAGGAGGTGGAAGAAACACTATGTGGGGGTCACAAACCCAAACAGAAGAGAACAAACCACAGAGAAATACAATGAGGAGCGGGGAGGGGACAGGATAACAAAGCAGCTCCACAGACCAGATGAACATCGGACCCTTCCAAGGCCTTCCATGGAGTCAGAGAAAAGGCTGGGGTTCTGAATCCTATTTTAAAGAAACAACCAACAGGTCCCAGCTGTCTAAGAAACAAGTTTCTCTGAAACCTCAGGGTAGGCTCATATGTTGAGCAGGTGGAAAGAGCGAGGACCCGAGGTTCCTGAAGATTACAAAAAGCTTGTATATGAAGGCCAAATACATTTTTCCTATTGGTCCGGGAAAGATGGACTAAAAGGAGAAACGGGGTATCATTGATCAAATTCTGCTGGGCAAGCCAGGAGTGGCTTCTTCCATTTTTTTTAGAGAGAGAGAGAATGGAAGGGAGGGAGGAGAAGGACAGGAAGAGAGAGAGGGAGAGGGAGAGAAACATCGATGTGAATGAGACACATTGACTGGTTGCCTCCTGCATGGCGCCAGGGATCAAATCTGAAACCCAGGTATATGCTCTTGACTGGGAATAGAACCCATGACCCTTGTGGGTTGATGCTCTAAATACTGAGCACACCAGCCAGGGCTCCTTTGGCCTATTTTTTTTTAAATCCTCACCCGAGGATATTTTTCCATTGATTTTTTAGAGAGTGTAAGAGAGAGGGAAAGACAGAGAGAAATATCGATGTAAGAGATACACATCGATTGGTTGCCTCCTGCACAAGCCCAACCAGGGCCTGGGCTGGGGAGGAGCCTGCAACCAAGGTACATGCCCTTGACTGGAATCGAACCCCAGATCCTTTGGTCTGCAGGCCAACACTCTATCCACTGAGCCAAACTGGCTAGGGCTCCTTTGGCCTTTTTAAAGGGTATCTGGCAATAATTCAGGCTGAAGACCCTGTTTTGTTATCTACTAGTTATGCACCTTGGGTAAATTTCACTTTTCAAAGTCTCAGTTTCCACTTCACCAAATGGGTCAATAACGAATCTTATTCAGAGGACTTCTGTAAGAATCCAGTAAGACAGTGAATGTGAGAACATTTTAAAGTTTTAAACAACAGTTACAGGCCCACAGCATTCCAGGGGGGCAGTGCCATCCATGCTTTCAGAGTTGGCGTTTCAGCTGCTGTCCAGCCCTCTTACCTGGGCTCATATCTGTGGTGCTGCTGCTGACCAACACTCCTGCTCAAAGGTTTTCTGGGGAGACACTGGGTGGAGTCTGTCTGCCAGTAATTGAACTAAAAATACCGGCCTTCCTTGCAGCTAGAACATAGGCATATGACACTGGCTTGGCCTATCAGGTGCAGCCACCCCAAATCTTGGGCTGGAAACTAGTGATACAAAGAAGTAGGAACTAGGCAGCATCCACTTTGGAGTTGCTGGGTGGTTGGAGAGCTATTCCAGTGTTCAGTGAGATGGCAGCAGTGTCTACATCAGAATGGTTTGGGGTATAAATCTTTGCTATAATCCATTTTCTAAGCTTAATTTGGCAGCCATTGTAGAGCTGTGAGCTAGTTTCTCTTCAATGAATTAAATTAAAAAAAAATCCTCACCCGAGGAGATTTTTCCATTGATTTTTAGAGTGGAAGGGAGGAGGAGAGACACAGAGAGAAACATCAATGTGAGAGAGACACATGGATTGGTTACCCCGCTCCTCCTCCCCCCCGCCCCTGCCGCAACCCTGTCGCATGCGCCCGACCAGAGCCGGGAATGGAGCCTGCAACCGAGGTACATGCCCTTAACCGGAATCGAACCCGGGACCCTTCAGTCTGCAGGCTGACGCTCTACCCACTGCGCCAAACCAGCTAGGGCTATGTTTTTAAAATATGTTTTTATTGATCTTTAGAGAGAGAGAAGTGATAGATAGAAACATCAATGAGAGGGAAATATCATCTATAGGCTGCCTCCTGCATACTCCTCCGCCTACTGGGGATCAAGCCTGAAACCCGGGTATGTGCCTTGACTGGGAATCAAAGCAATGACATCTTGATTTATGGGTCAATCCTCAACCACTGAGCCACACTGGCTGGGCTGGTATGTTTTACATTTTTTTAAAAGATAATTATTTATTGTTGAAAGTATTACATATGTCTCCTTCCCCCCACATTGCCCCCCTCTAGTCTGTCCCCACCTCCTGCCCCAGGACCTCACCCATTGTCTGTCTCCATGGGCCATGCATATATGCATTATCCTTGGTTGATTACCTCCCATGCTTTAATTTTTTGATACATGTATGAGTTTATCTGTAAGATAAATTCCTGAAAATGGAACTGTTAAGCCAAATTTAAAAAATTTGACAATGATGTTAATCCCCCTGCATGAGCAGCTTTACCAGTTTATGTCCTCACCTCTGATGTATGCATGTGCTTGTTCCCCAATCCTCACCAGCACTGAGCACCATCTGTGCTGGTGTGATAGGTAAAAAGTGGCATCTATGACTGTAATTTGGGTTTTGCTTACCTTTGGCTTCAATCCTCTGGCCACTTCCAATTAGGCAGTCCTTGATGTCTGCTCCCTTCTCGATCACAGCATTGTTGCAGATGACACTGCCCTGGATGTTGCTTCTGTAACACAGTAGCTAAGTCAGGAAGTGCTTATGGCTCTCATCACCACCCTCACCACTATGGGCTGGGGGTTCTGGCTCCTCCACAGGCTAGGAATAGCTGGTCACTCCAGTTAATGACTACATGCTTGCATGGGAGGACCTGGCTTTAGGGAAGTCCAGAGTTTGGATATGCTCACAATGACCTTCTCCTTAAAAGCCCGAAAAGAGCACACTTTGACTTCAGTTCTTTAGGCACCCCAGAAATAAACTCCACCCAATATTTCCTCCTTTATTTGGGGGTGGAAGCTGGTGCTGGTCCCTGGGCTGACTCATCCCTCCGTCTCTCATCTGGGAATATATACACCAAGATTCATCTGATATATTTGCAGCTCAGATCCTGCAATTTTCCTAGGAGATCAGCTATGGAAAATAGTGGGTGCCCCACAGCTCTCACCACAGACTCTGGTTAAACCATACTCATTTAGGAAAAAAAGGATGCTTTTCAAACCAGCTCCATGCCACATTAAAGACTACTCCAGATCCTAAAGCCACACTCTCAAGAGTAGCAACACTTGCTCTTAACATTTAAATGTGTTTAAAGAGCATCTTCCTGGCTCCTGAAATCTTCACTAGCATTAATTCATACCTACTCTATGCCAGGTACTATGCTAAATACTTATGTATATTACAGGAGTGACAAATCTAGCCATTTATCAGAAAAATCACCTGGGCAGTGTTAAAAATAGCAATCAAAACCACTCTCCATGTCTGGGCCCCCATCAATCTTTTTGGTGGGTCTAGAATGAAGGGCCTGATGTATTTAATTAGGGGAAAATGCTTCCTAGATGATTGTGGGAGTATCATTTTTACCTCAGATGTAGTAAAAATAATAACCACATTTTGTAGATAAGGCAACAGAGATGTTAAACCATTTACCCAAAACCACATAACTACCAAGTAGCAGATCAAATCTAGGTTTGCCTGACTCCAGAATCCACACATTTAACCATAATGTCATACAAATAAATCAAGGGGAGAAAAGACTGGAGGAAGCCTGGACCTGCCAGGTTGCTTTTCTGAGCCGAGATGGTTCCAGAAGGATCTCTGCGTTAACAGGGGAACATTCAGTGCCCTAAAGAGTCAGGGCAGCTGGAGGGGAGAAGGAGGTGAGAAGAAGGGTGTGAGCATCCACTGGAGCAAAACAAACAAAAACAAAACACCAAATAAGGAAATATCCTACGAAACCTATGAGGCAGGGGGGGACAGAGAAGGGACAGTCCAAGTACTGAAACTGTCGATGCACAGGCCATAAAAAAAGATCCTCCCAAATGCCAACACTTTAGTAAAATGTGAAAAATAAAAGGTAAATATAGCACTTTATGGCATTTCAGAATCTTCTTTATCTCTATTCTTCTTCAAGTCGGTTGGAAAGCAGTGAAAGGCCAAAGCCACAGCACCTCTGTGGTATGGGCTAGAGACGGGCAGAGACAGTATTAGTTTGTGGGTTTTTTTTTGGCTCAAAGTCAGGATACACTCACTGGACAGGCATTAAGGGACTTTCTAGAACTTTCCAACTTTCCCTCTGCTTCAGGCGAAGCAGTTCAGTCAGAAGTTAGAGTGGTTCTTGCTCCTTGGGGAAAATTCTCCCCCAAAGAATAGTAATGAAGTATAGAAAGCCTCAGATACACAGGCGCCTGGGACAGAGCAGGCTTGCAACTGGCTACTAGTTTGTCATTGAAAGTCTCCTTTCTTTTTCCAAGGTGGGAGAGGGGGATGCTCCTGCGCAGTGGTTTTAGGAGCCTGTGACAGCATGATCTGGAGCTAGGCAAGAGGTAAACATGGTCAGCAGACAAAAAACAGGCAACAGATTTGTGGATTATAGAGAACAACATAGACTGATGAAAAGGGACAGATCCAAAGACTGAGAAATAGCGATCAGGCTATCAATCCCCAGAAGGAAAGTAGGGGAGGGAGGGGGTAAGGGGAAGAGATCAACCGAAGGACTTGTATACACGCATATAAGCCAAACCAATGGACATGGACAACAGGGGGATGGGAGCATGAGTGTGCGGGGTGGGGAGGTTGGGGTTAATGGGGGGGATGAGGACACATTTGTAATACCTTAACTAATAAAAAAACCCAAAAAACAAACAAACAAACAAACAAAAACAGGCAACAGAAACCCACGCAGCCATAATTAGACACTATTAACTGGCTACTTTGGAATCTGGGATATAGGTGGGAGCCATTTCTGAAAGGAGGAGGCTGGAACGTTTGAGGTCAGATTCCCATAGCAATGCATAGCCTGAGTTCTCCTTGGGTTTAGCAGGTCTGAATGAGGTCTTCAGAGCCTCCCATATTGCTTTCCTCATCTGGTTTGTGTGTAACACCCTCTGGACACAGAGTGTCTGCAGATGTGACGGAAAAAGTGGGTTGACAGATGGGAAGCTGGGCGCTCTCCTGAGGCTCTTGGTCAGTGGATCTGTGGAAGGCTTCGAGATGAACACCTGACAAAATGCTCAGTGAGTGTGAAGCTCTTTTCTACCACTCGCTTCTTCAATTGTTCCTCATCATCATGCTGTGGTTACAAGTCACCTCCATTAGCAAGGCTGAGGTTCTCTGGAAAAATTTCAAGTCAATATACCCTTCCCTCTGTCCAGAAAGAAACTCCAAGATTAAGGATTTTACTGGAAGTGTGTGCGTTTGCTCATGGTAGAGAGGAAGGACAGATACTACTGTATGAAACAAGCCCCCTCATCGTTGCCAATCCACAGTAATGACTGCCTTTTCTGCTCAGTGCTTAAGGTGGGGGGGAAGGTAGCTTCCTATGGAGCTCAAGAACTGGCCCCAGTGCCAGAACTACAGTTTTTACATCTAGTTTTAACTCTCAACTGGGTACTAAGGACTTTGCTGTGCTAATGCCTGGTTGTGTTATCTAAGAAGCTGCTCAGAGATAGCCAAGATTAATGCTATTTGTGTGTGTGTGTGTGTGTGTGTGTGTGTCTATATGTGTTTTTTTTGTTAATCCTTACCTGAAGTCCACTGATTTTTAGAATTCAGGCTTTTTTTTTTAAAAATATATTTTATTGATTTTTTACAGAGAGGAAGGGAGAGAGATAGAAACATCGATGAGAGAGAAACATCGATCAGCTGCCTCCTGCACATCTCCCACTGGGGATGTGCCCGCAACCCAGGTACATGCCCTTGACTGGAATCGAACCTGGGACCCTTCAGTCCGCAGGCCGACGCTCTATCCACTGAGCCAAACCGGTTTTGGCTCCACTGATTTTTAGAGTGGAAATGAGAAGGGAAGGGGAAGGGGGCAGAGAGAGAGAGAAACATCGATGTAAGAGAGGCGCATTGACTGGTTGCCTCCCCCACATTCCCCAATTGGGGCCAGGGATTGAACCGGCAACCCAGGTATGTGCCCTTGATGAGGAATTGAACCCAAGACCCTTCAGTGCACAGGCTGTACTCTAACCGCTGAGAAACACTGGCCAGGGTGATTAATGGGGTTTTGGTCCTCATTTCTCCTTGGTGGGGTTAAATTTTAAGCACAGTTGTAGGTCTTGGTAAATTATCCTGCTAACCCTAACGCTTCAATAAAGAGGAGGCCGTGAGAAAACACAGAGGTCTATGGTAAGATTATTGCTTGGCCAGGCACACCATGCCACACACAAAGCACTTTATATTCATTATGTAACTTAATCCTTTTAGCAAACCTGTAGGGTAGTGGTATTTACTCTAATTTTTACAGAGAAAATTGAGGCTCACAGGGGTTAAGCAATGTGCCCAAGCTTACACAGTGGTGACTCTGTGTCATGGGCTTCTGCCTCAGGTGTTGACTTGGCAGTATTTGGCAAAGAGCCATGAAACTTCTCAGTAACTCTGAGGACAGGCAGGTTCTTCTCTGGGGATTAGTTGGCAGGCTTTCTAAATTTACTCATAACCTTTTCTAGACATGTGACTAAAGATCTGACTCACTACTTCAGTCTAAAGATTATGGCTGAGTCATCCATATCATCCCAGATACCAGAGCCTCCTAACCTTAGCTCAGTGATTTTTGTTTAAATCCTCACCAGATGTTGAGGGATGGAGGGAGGGAGGAAAAGTAGAAGGGAGGAAGGGAGAAAGAAACATAGAGAAATATCGATCGGTTGCCTTCCATATGCACTCCGACTGAGGATCAAACCTGAAACCTAGGTATGTGCCCTGACCAGGATCAAACCCTTGACCTTTAGGTTTATAAGATGATGCTCCAACTGAGTCACCTGGCCAGGGTGGGTAGGATCTAGATTTTATTGTGCCTGACAAATATTCTTTTAAAAAAAAATATATTTTATTTATTTTTTTACAGAAAGGAAGGGAGAAGGATAGAGAGTTAGAAACATCGATGAGAGAGAAACATCGATCAGCTGCCTCCTGCACACTCCCTTACTGGGGATGTGCCTGCAACCAAGGTACATGCCCTTGACTGGAATCGAACCTGGAACCCTTGAGTCCGCAGGCCGACGCTCTATCCACTGAGCCAAACCGGTTAGGGCCTGACAGACATTCTTTAGTCTGTGGCAGTTACCTAGTGTTTTCATTTTGTTGAGTTTCAAGGAGTGAAGTACTCACTCAGCTCTTTTTCTAGAAGTAGACAGGGCTCTCTTGACAGATACTCAGCCAATTACAGTACAGGGATTTAAACCAGGGATCTCTATTTTTCATTCAGTAAATACTTACACAGTATCTAGTATAGAAAATGTACAGCACTAGAAGTTAAGGAATACAAATACATATAAGAAGTATTTCTGTATTCAAGGAATTTATAGTCTTGTTGATGAAAAAAGAAAGAGGCAGTTAAGTGCCATGTGAACATAAGTTAAGTGTTATGGGTGTCCAGGGAACACAGGACAATTCACGAAGGTTGCATGTAGGAGCTAGAATATGTATTGGACCTTGAAAGATGGGTAGGATTTATACAGATAAAGATCTCTAGAGAGAGGCAATTCAGGCAGAATGAATGTCAGGAAT